GGCAGGAGGTTGGAGGTGTGGGCGGCCAGGCGCTTAAAAGCTGTAGTGTATGTTTTATTGAGAAAAGAATAGGAATATCTTACATCATTTGAGTTCTTGTGATAAAAGTGTATTCTTTGAATGTGTGATATACTATCATGTTTTTACCCGATCTATGTGCGTAAATGTGTCAAAAGGCTTGTATCTTAATTGAATGTGGTGATTTTGATGCTTTGGGCTGGATTTCAGGAAATCTTTATCTCAGTTTGCATAAGGATGGAAATGGTTGTAGGGTTGGATACATTTTGTTTTAATGAATATAGAGGAGAACACAATTCTTAATATTGTGACCTTTTTTTCTCTTACTATCTATTCATTATTTTCTTTACAGGAGGCATTGAACTGCACTGAAGATGTTGGTCAGTTCTGTGGCATGTTTCTCAAATGCAAAGCTTGTGAGGACCATCCTCAGTGTGTGTGGGACACAAGTGATAAATGTATTGAAAGGACAGGCAGTAAGTTGGTTAACTATTTCTTTCAATTGTTTTTTTTTTTTTGTATGTGTTTTTTTTGTTTTTCGTTCGTTCTGTTTTGGTTGCTGGTCCATATTATTGTCTTTGGCAATTTGCTCCCCCAAACGACATTTCGCAGCTTTGTGAGTTTACAGTATACGCTGGCAGTGTTGAGAGACTTGAAACATTGCCATTACTGAATAACTGCTGAAAATTTTGGCCACCACTGGTTGATCCATTTCTTTCTTTTCTGTTTTTTTCTACCTCTCTATCTGTCTTTTTCTCCCTTGCACCAAACAACCGTTATTGAGTTGGTGTGCTTCTCTTTGCTCAAACACTTTGGAGAGTACTCTTTATAATGAGTTTGTTGGGAGACAAACATTCAGGCTATACATTCTAAGGAACAGAAATGTATTAGAAATGTTTGTGTGTCAGTCTAGACTGGGCGCTCTTGAACTCAGGTAATTTTGTGGAGTTTTCAAGGCTCTTAACCCTTTGGGATTGGCCATGTCGGAGATAGACCTTAAATTCAGAGGTCCCAGTGTTGATAGGGGTGAAACCCATACTCTTACTCTAAAGAGTAACCTCGACAGCTAGAATTTTCATAGTACAATGTACATGTTCTAAAATTTTCATAGTACAATGTCAATGTTCGTTCGTAAACAGATGAGAGAGTTCAAAGAGATACTAAGCTTAATTTGTTATGACACTGCTATAAGCTTTGCTGTCATGAACAGTCTTTATTTTCCCATCCACAGGTGCTTTGACAGCTGGAAAGAGCACCTGTGACAAACCTTGCAGTGGATTCTCGGGCTGTGAGAACTGCACCCAGGCCAAATGTATGTGGTGCAGCAGTTTGAACCAGTGCATTGACACAAACTCTTATGTGGTCTCCTTTCACTACGGTCAGTGTATGGACTGGACAACCAGCAGAAGCGCCTGTCAAGGTAAGCTCTTTCATTATTTCTTGTCTCCTGGATAAGAAGAAGATTTGAATGGACCATTTCTTTAAGAAGACTTTTTGTTGCTTTCACAAGCTAACTCTAATGTTTCCTACTCACCCAGTACAGCATTGTCAAATGGAATTATACTCATTGCGACAGCAATGTCTTGTCAAAGTATGCCTTTGATTGAATGCTGAATGATTAATAAACGAAAAACGGTACTTGATGAATTAGATTGTCGGTGCTTGAAGCATTTTGTATAGTACCCTCGACATGAGCATTAAAGTATCCTTGAAATTGAATGTGTTCATTTGTGTAAAGAAGGTTGAGAAAGTTCATATAATGTTAGACATGGAGGAGGAATGAGCTTGAAAGCACTGCTGACGACATTTGATGATTATATTTCATCAAAATGTATTATTTGTCAGTTTACTTCTGTCCATGAAAGACGAAGACTCCTTTGCTTTTTAAGAAGAGGGCTACAGCTGAGAGTTTTCTCACTTATTTGTTGACCAAATTTCAACACATTTCACACGTATAACAAGCGTAGTGGGAAATCTTCAAATATGCAATCAAATTGTAGGAACAAAGTTTTGTTGCTATGGAGACAGTCGCCATACTGGGTTTTGTTGACACGTCTTATTAAGTTAATATTTCTTTTATTTTCTATGGAAATAGGCTGTTATTTTGCATTCATGTTGGGGAAACAATAGCTCTATGAAAGTCACTGTTAAACTTTTTTCTAAACAAATTACATGTAGAAACTTTTTAATGATTTTTTTCTTAAGGTAATATTCTAGGCTGAAAAAAATCTGCGAAAGTTCACACTCCAAACACCACCAAAAACTATTCCATATATTGTAAATTCAACAGTGAATTTTATGATGTTACATCTCCTCTTCACTATGTGAAAATTTTATGAAGATTCTATGATTTAAAAAAAAAACATTTGGGGGGGGGGTTGTTTGTTTTGTTTGGGGTTTTTTTGTAAGTGCTTTACGGCGCTTGCAACTGCATAAGGTCATGCGCGTGGGACACATTAAACATTTTCAGTTGTTAGGAAAGTTGAATTTTGTCCGGATGGTGGCTGAAGCCTACTCTTTACTTTTCGATTTTAGACCACCAATGGATCTTTAACCTTCACAATTTGCACACGAGATCTTGGAGATATTTCGCCCTTGTTCAAGAAGGCTAGGGAAAAGCAGGGGTGTGGCAGAAAGACAACAGTAAGAAGGAGCTAATGAGTAGCAGTAGAAAGATTCAGTATCCCAGAGGAGGGGGCAAAGGAGGTGAGGGGGTGGGGGCAGAAAGTAGAGATGAAAGCAGACGACAGAACATTGCTAGAGAGAAGGAAAGGAGGTGAAAGAAGACAATTTTAGAGAAGAAAAATGTACACCGCTATCCGAATTCGAACCCAGGACCTATCGCATGAGATGCGAACACCTTAACCTCTAGGCCATGAGAGCCCCAGATGAAAAATGGTGAAGTTATTGAAAAAAGTATATAGCAAAACATTGCTTTGAGAAACGGACTCTTTAAATAACTCATATGTGACAATATGAGGTTTGGGGTGGAGGGGGGGGGGTTCTTATGCGATGAAATAGTTGTGAGATAGGTGGAAGAAGCCAAAAATGCCTACATCTGAAGGTCAATAATTTTGTCCCAAATCCGAACTCTCCCTTACCCCACTCTCTTTAATCATACCGAGGAACAGTGTAATATTTTCTATTTTCATGCTTCATTCTATTCTAAGTGTACCATTTCAGTTCCACTTGTATATTGGTATTCTGATTTCTCGTTTTGTGTACAAGAATTGTGATTCATTGGTTGTTTCATGACAGCAAACAAATGCTCGGCTTTAAAGAATTGTGAAGACTGCCAAGCACGGCCCAAGTGTGGATGGTGCAATGATGAATCTGAGACTGGCACGGGCGTTTGTTTTGAGGGAGGCATGAGTGGACCCATCAAACTAGTAGACAGCATGCCACAGCTTGATCAAGGCAAATGTCCTGATCTCAGCAACAGATGGTTCTTCAACAGCTGTCCCAGTATGTGTCTCAAGTATTTTTTTAGAACATGGGGAAAGAGTGCGGGGGGTTATGGTTTCACTTCTCACTCAGCTGTTTTCACTGCCTGACAGAAACAAAGGGTAACAAAATTCTGAGAGACCTCTCCCAAGGTAACCTCTTGGCAAGGGTGGAGTGACCTTAATGCTTCATACTTTGAAGATACAGCAAAAATTAAGATTTGCACTTTGGATAAATGGCAGAGGTATCTTTTGTGTAATATATTATTCTTTTGGTAGTTACTTTGACTTGATAAAAAGCCAAATGTTAGAGCTGTGTGAGTTGATTGTTGTTGGGTTTTTTTGTTGTTGTATTGTTATGTGTTCCTGAACAGTTCTTTACAAGCTCACTTGTAATTATGTTCTACAGAATAACCCGTAATCTATTTACTTATTGTTGTATCGTCTTAGTATTTTTGTTTCTTTGCCTCTAAACTGAATGTCTTTTTTTCATAATATAACTTAAACGTTATTTATTGTATAACATAATACATTTTGTTTTCATGAGTTATTTGTATTTATAGAAGTGAGAAACATATTTTGAGACCTGAATGGCCTTTAGACCAGTTTTCAAGATTTGAGTTAGCACATGATTCTAAGTCACGGACAAGAAAGAGTACTATGATATCACAGTTGTTCTCTCCAGCAATTGCTGGTTCCCTATTCACTTCCGTGTGGCTTTGTATACCTGTTAAGTAGGCAGCATATGCTAGATGGCATTTGTTTAGTTTTTAGGACAAGATTGTCTTGGTATGATTCGCATAAAACTATGTATTTCTGCATCTGTGGGCCAATTTGTCGGGTCTGTGTTTAAGGGTGTCAATGGTTAGCAAGTGTTCTGATGAGGCTTGCCTTTTCTGCTTCTTTGTAACATTGCAATTAGCATTATCTGTTCCATCGGAAATGTTATTGTGCAGATTTTCTAAGTGGTGCTGCCCAATGCAGCATGTATTACAGTTTCTGTGCATGGTCAGCCTCTTTCAACACTGATGTGTGGATGATTGGATGGTGCCATTAATAAGTTCTGTTTCATTTCAAAGCAATTTGTTTCTTTTTCATCTTACTTTTTCCAAAACACTGTAATGTCTAATGTCTACATGCTTTATGTAGGAAATGGTAAGTCAAATTAACAGATGAGGATCATGTGGAAGGTTTTTGAAAAATGATGGGAAGCTTTACAGTGAGTCCTTGTAACAACTGTATTCTTTTTTTGTGTTTCAGAGTGCCAGTGCAACGGTCATTCTATTTGCAAAAATGATTCTGACATTTGTGAGAACTGCACTTTCCCGATGTACGGTACGTTTACAAATTATTTTGAATGGGTGAATTGAACCATCTTTAAAATATTTTATTATATATGGTGGACAGAAATAAGTTTTGTTCTAACTCTGTTTTCTGTGGGTGGTTAGTGGGTGCTCTGGTGTGGTTTGCTCCTTTTTTACTTTCAAACCACTATCTTCCTCATCTCTCCTTTTTTGTGTATGTTACTTTATTGTAACACCTTTAACTCTTTAAACCCTGAGTTTTTTTCCACCGTTTCCTGGAGTTTTTTGTACAGCAACCTAAACCTGATGTCTCATTATAACCCCAAAAGCTTGCCTTCAACTTCTAAATGGCGGAAACAACGGCTTAGTCATTACTAAAAAAACTTGGTTCGGGAATAAGTCCGAAAAACAAGCAATAACTAGCACAAAATGAAATAAAACAGTTATCACTAGTATCAAACGCTGGGAGCTTCCGATGGGAGCGTCTGATGGGGAACAAGGTTGTTACTGCGGGACTCTCCCAGCGTCCGATGGGGTTTAAAGAGTTAATCTTTGGCACTTATATGACATAATTGTGTTGCAAGTGCTGTAAAACTCTTACAAAAACTGAACTCTGTTTTCTTGGTGGAATATGGTTGAAATTTGTTTTTGTCTGTGAAGTCCAAGGTTAATATGTGTGTAATTGAAGCCTTGAAAAACTTCCCTTAAGTTGAGATTCTGTGTCTAAGTTGTTTTTAATGTTACTGTAGGAATACAAGAGCTAGCATCTACTTTCTAGATCTAATATCAGCAACATATTAAAGCTCCACTCACTCGACACTGACAGAGAAAACAAGTTCAGATCTCGAGACTTTGTTGTTTTCGTGAAGACCACTTTATTACGTATGCGCTCATCAAGGAAGTTGCTAGTTTCAAATACACAGATACTAAATTTCGGAACAGTACACTAAGCAAGTTTACCGAACAGCATGGGACGTGAGACATGAGGATAACAAGGATAGACGCCACATTACTCCAGGCATTGTCTGATTCAAAATGTTCCACAGTGTGAAGAGACATGCTGTGAATATTTAATGATGCCCTTATGTTATGTTAACTCTTTATCTCTGGCAACCCGCTCCCAGCGGCTCTCGGCCGGAACTGGTGAGTCACTGGTAGCGGCTCGGGCACATTTCATACAGCGACTTCAACATCAAAATACTTTTCGGCAAAGTTTCTTTTACCGGAAGTTCATTCATTAGATCAAGTTCTATCATAATAGGTTCGCTAGTTTCAATTTAATGACCCATTTAGTGACATTTTTGTCATTTTAGGTTTACTACCAAAATTTTAGGCCCAGGCGTAGTGGGTTCACCCTCCTTGGAGATAAAGAGTTAATTAACATTCCTTGGGAAAACTATTGCGTTATTGAGGAAAATTAAATGTAAAAAAGAAGGAGGAATTAATAATAGCCTTTAGAGTAAAAAAAGACCAGTTGTTACCACTATTTATTAAAGATGAGGAGGTGGAGGCGGTAAGCTCTTACAAGTATATTGGTATAACAATTGATAATAAACTTGACTGGCATCCCCACGCTACTCTTGTGCATTAAAGAGTAAATGAAAGAATGTTCCTTTTAAGGAAATTAAGAAGTTTGCGTGTCGATAATAAGATTGTGTCCCTTTTATACCATTCGATGATTGAAAGCGTGCTATTATTTTGTATTTGCTGCTGGGCTGGGAATTGTTGGGTGAAAGATAAAGAAAAATTTTACAGGACCATTAAGAAAGCCAGTAAGATCTCTGGATATGATTATTGCTAGAATCACCACAAGTATAAAAAAGATAAAAAGTATTATAAACAACCCATCACACCCCCTTTCCCACGCAGTGGCAGATATGTACCTCTAAAAACAAAGAAAGAAAGATATAAAAGAACTTTTTTACCTTCTAGCATAAGGCTATTTTCAGAATAAGCATAGATGTGTATTGCTCTTTAGAGTATGTATCTATATAATTCCAAAGGTCTTTTTATTAAATTTCTGCATGTGGTTGAATGATGCATCTGATGTGATTAGTACATTTTGTCAGCTTTACTTCTCTTTTCATATTGAAATTTAATGAAAGTAATATATAATTTAAATTTGTATGTATACCTGCCTGTGTTTTTACTGTCCTGTACAGCCAAGAAAAATTTCCATCTAGGATAATAAAGTTTTATCTTATCTTAAATTTTTGTTCCCCGAAAGCAGTCTCAAAAGCTACATCTCTTACAATAATCTGACCTTTTATTGTGATGCCTAACTTGCATTTGATAATCATTATGAGAATGAAAGTGTAAGTAAACATAATTTAAGAATCAAATGTATTTTAATGTGCTCTTTGTTTTCCTTTAAGGTCCTCATTGTGAATATTGTGAGGATGGCTTCTATGGGAACCCGGAGAGCAATGGAACATGCAAGCGTGAGTGTTATTGTCACTAGATTGTGCCAATGTTATAGTGTCAGAATGCTGGATGCAAGGTCATTCTGAGTTTCAGGATTATTAAAGTGATCCAGTGTTTTTCTTTTTTTGTTTGTTATTTATATCCCCTTTTTGTAGGCAATGTTTAAATTTCTTTTTGTCTGGAATGTCTGTGGGGTTTTTTTTCTGTTTGTAGATGAAATGATGGGGTAAAAAAACATTATTTTCACAAGGTATAGATGTGAATGTTTAGAGAAAGATTGTATTTGGCTCTGTGAATATTGATGACTGGGTGCAAGACTCCAACTAATGCCAAATCACAAAAAGGCTTTTGTCAGTTTTGCATCCAGCAATTGATAGGAAGAAAATGTGGAAATTTGTTGCTAGTAAAGCATTTTTTAGAAAGAATTAAAGGTTTGAAATTCTCGATGGCAGCTATATTTTGTTGGAAATGGTTCATTAAAGAAATTGTCAATTGGTGCAATCGAGTAGTACTTTGTAGTAAAAAACATTTTATGTTTATCACTGTTCTTAGACTCAAAGGAAGCAGTAGAGCCTATCAGTCCATTGGTTTCTGTAAAATCCAACAACACTAGTTGCATGGATCTCTTATCTCTGTCTTGTGCATTTTTTCTTCATATTTTCACTTCATTTCTTTATGTCCAGCCTGTTTCTGCAATGGTCAAGCTGATTCATGTGATCCTGTTACTGGCAACTGCTACTGTCGGACACGCGGGGTCACCGGCAAAACCTGTGAAAAGTAAGAGGCGTAATGGTTTGTGTTTAATTGTGAGTAAAGAGAAGCACATTGTCACAACCGTAGCTACTTAGTAATGAGAAAAATCAGAGGGGGAAACAAAAAGGGGTAGTAAAGAAGTAGTACCTACTAGTGGTGCCCTCCAAATGGCTGTGTCTTGTGTAGTGTTTTTATTTAGCTGTGAAAAGGATATCAATGCCATTGAAGATGAAGTGCCAGATCAGTTTTCGAGAAGTGTTTCATACAGTCCTTGTGTCTCTTTAATCAAAACCAAAAAGGATGAATGGTTGACTTTTATTAAATAGGAATACTCAGAATAGACCTGAGCATGTATACATTTGGTATATTTATTTTGGGGTTTTGTTGGGGGGGGGGGGGGGGGGGGTTATCAGTCAGTATTAGTCACTGGCTGAAGAAGCAGATTCTATTTTTGCCTGCAGTTGAGATTGATAGGGAATATGTAAGGAGAATGGAAGAGGGAGAAGAGCAGAGGAGAATGATGTACAGAAAAGTGGAAAGACCTGGAATAATATCAAGAAGCTTGTTCAAAGATAAAGAAAAATAGAAAGTTTTTGTCGAGGGCCTGATCCAGGTTGAGAAAGGCAATGATGATGAGGTGTAAGGAGAAATACAACAACACAAAATATCACCTGTACATATTTTAGCTTTTTTTTTCCTTTCAGTGTCTGTCATGATTTACCCAGTCAATTTTTGTTCCCAACTATTTTGTGAAAAGTTAGTGACAGCTTTTTAGATATAGAATGTTTGTTTAGATATAGAACGTTTGTTCACATCTAGTCAGTGCGGTACTTAGTTTAATTTTATTCTCCCAGTGATTCATTTTTAGCACATCCTGAAAATTTGTGTTACACATCGTACAACATACCTTACGATTTAATTCGTCACATGTTGTGATTCCATTCAAAATACTTTTTAAAATACAATTACACACATCCAGGGATTCAATTCTAAGCGTGTGATTATATCATCATTCCTTGTCTCTGTGCAGGTGTGACACTACTAACAGATATTCTGGCGACCCAAAAAATGGTGGCTTGTGTTACTGTAAGTCCAGATAGTTTCTGTTGGTGAAGAGAAATTTTTCAGAACTGAAATATGAAAATGCTTTTATGACTGTTCTATTTTCAGTGTTGTTACTGAAAGTGTTATGTTTCATATTGACAAAGCAGTTGGCAATATGTATATTTCTTAATGTGATATTGTTATTATTTGATCATTTAAAGTGGAAAAGGTATTTATCAGATATATTTACTTTTGAAACAACAATGATTGTTTAAAGTTTTGTTGTAATATTGCACTGTGATCCTTATGGGGAGTTGTATGATAGGGACTATAATGATTCAACCCTTATAAGTTGAATTATAAGTAATGAATCTGTTTGATTCTGGATTTTAGTATAAAAAAATAACTTCTCAAATCCAGAATATCATGAGATTTGGAACAATCTAATCCAAGTTTGTGAGGTCATATTTATTTTGATGTAAAAAATATATATCTTCTGGTATTATTAATTCTAAAAGAAAAAAGGGAGGGTGAGAAAGTGCGCATATGTTGCTGTTAGTCATGTGAATTGAGTATGGATGTCAAGAATAAGGAGGGCTATCTTGTTTTATCTTTCTTCATTTTTCTTGAACCAGATGAACTGAACACAGACTTCCAGTATACTTTTAATTTGTCCAAGAAAGAAGATGGCAACTATACGCAGATCAATTTCCTGAATGCGCCAACATCTGTAAGTCTGCTATACTGTGCCAAATATTTGTCTTAGGGACAGCTAGCAAAGGCAAAAGGGACCTACAGCTGATGGTTTTGTAGCCCACTTCTTCCCTTATCTTTTATGTTTTTACATGGACAGAACATTTTTCATCATATGACTGATTGTGAAATTATATATTCCACTGCACGCAATGTTTTGGATATCTCATTATTTTTCTTAATTGATTTAAATTATTTGAGTTTTCTTATATGTTCAGTCATGACATATGCCAGTTTAATTTGTTCAGGTTTAATTAAATATTTTATGAATTCCATAATATTCTGAAGCTCTGAACTGCTGAAACAAATACATTATTTCTTGCAGAGTGACAAAGACGTTGACTTCACTCTGAATTGTTCCACTCCTGCATTGATAAACATAACTTACAGATCAAGTAAGTTTTCAGTATTTTTTTTTTTTTATTAGCTAATTTTAGACTCGCATTGGTGGTTTGATATTTATTTTTTGACAAGGGTGTCTGCTGGGGAACCATCTTTGCTGTTAATGTAGAAGCCACTAACAGTGTGAATAGTATACAATAGTGCACCAGCTTTGTCAGAGCTGTTCATGGAGCTTTAGTTTTGTGAATAATCTTAGGGACATTGTTTATAGATTTATCTTTGTGGAGCAGGACAAGTTTCCTAAGATACCGTGTACTCCAATTGTGTAGAACGATTTTTATGTTCTATTGGTTGTTCGTGTTTTAGTCACAGCACCACCATCTTAAGTTATAATATTCTAAATTCTTATCCGCAACTTACTTTACGGGCTAGTATTGTTCAGCCTATTATCAATCTCTGTCCCCAGTTTTGCCTCCTGTTAGGGAAACACTGCTGTTATCATACTTTGTACTGCCTTACTTCTAGGGAAACACTGCTAGTATTGTACTTTATACTGCCTTATTCTTGAATGTGTTTCGTATACTTCTGTTTGTTTTTTCTAGTTCTTAATGATTTATCAATGTCTTGTAGAGTCCTTCCCAGAGGAGAAGGAGTATGTGAGTGGTCGCATATGTGACTACTTCCGCACTAAGTTTGAACACAAGAACCATGCCTTCGGGGGCAAAGAGAACACTACCTTCTTGGTCTATGTGTACAACTTTAGGACACCATTCATTTTGCAGGTAAGCCTATTTACATCTATCTTATGAACTAAATATAAAACCAAAAAAAATTATCTGAAAAACTTGAATGACTCGGCCTCTGGGAAAAGTTTATCAATTTAGAATGGCGCAATAGACTCAAAATGAAAAAAAAAATTGATGTAATCGGTCCATTTTATGAAAGGTGTAAATTTTATCCACATAACCATCTCATGGGGATATCTTGGCTATGGATGCTCAGATCATCATACTTTTGCTAGCAATAGCAATGAAAAATCATAATTTTATCCCAAACACAACGTTACTTCCTTGGACTGCGGTTTAAAAATTTTTTTTAATCCATTGATAAAAAGTTATTGGGATTGTTTGTTCCAAACTTTTGGACTTTTGTGTGGGAAAATATCGCCAAAAAGTGGGACGTTACTTGATGTATTTTGAAGAAAAACTGTGTATAAGTCAGTGATGAATTGGAGCATATGAATGAAACTTGACATCTTTTTAGTGCAGAATCTAGTTCTATTATCACTTTTTTATTATCTTTATTACTTTCGATTTTTAAGACAAATATTTACGTGAAAATTTGTTAAATTGCACAACATCGCTTGAACTGTAACCGATTCGGGGGCACAGGCTTGTGAGGCATTGTGGAAAATTATGTAAGTTTTCAACTCATCTTTGCTTAAAAACTACTTTGGTCTAATTTTGAACATGCTTGGCAAAAATTAGTTGAATTTACTCTACCTGATACCGAAACGATATAACTTCGATCTTAAAAAGAATCAGCGCTGTTCCATGATCACCCCTTCTACAACTTAACAAAGCGGTATAGGGAAAACACGCAATGAACTCATTGGTGACGTGTTTAGTTTTAGGTGGCCAATCACATGCCACTTAGCAATCACATGCCTTTAGCATGCCGGCAGGATAGCTTGCTCAGTTTGTGACCCAGTTTCCGACTAAGTCTTTTATCACTGAATGGTTGATAACTTTAAGTTGATATGTAAAATGTACTGCACACAGAGATCTGAAATTAGACAGCAATAAAGAAGACATTTGGAGTGCCTGCCTGGTTGACAACCAATCCACAGCTCTTAGTATTTCAGAAATGGAAGAAAATCATACAAACACAGCAATGTCTCCAGTTCTAGAAATATGTCGGCATTTGACACTGGCATGTAGTAAGTTTGGCCGCTCCTTTAGTTGGTTGCCAAGTTTCATTAATTTTTGTCTATGGGTTTTCCCGTAACTACTCAGAATTCCCATAACTATACTCAGAAGAAAGCCACCTCTAATCCCGAACTGCCCAAAAATTACCCCTCACACGGGACCTGATGTTCGACCCAAAGTGCCACTGGCGATTGGCATTGCTACTTTTGCTATATTTACTTTCATTACTAGAATGGTATATTTAAGAACTTATGGATATACGTTTTTTTACTTGTAAGTTTCCCTTCTCAGGGTTGTTTGAAACTTAAACTGATTTTGCATTCAGAATTGCGGGACCCTCTGTTCTCGACGCAGGACATTTTATTTTATTCTTAAATTGTAAAAAGTTACTGCAATGAATGTTTGTGAGAGAGAAACTTGGAAGTGTTGAAATGCACAATCCTCCTATTCAGAAAGATATAATTGAGAATCATTGTACAAGTGAAATCAAAGCCAGATGGCACACTTTTGGTCGATAGTACTGGGAAAAGATTTTACTCTGACTTCAAACAGAATCTGACTTTCAGTCATTGTGTTTATGTAAAAAAGTAAACATGAAATGCCCTGATGTTGTTACTTTTGAATTTCTAATCGCGTACTCTAAAGTTGAATCCTTGCGAGTGAGGAGGTAACTAAATGGTATTTTCTTTTTCCTTTAGCAATAAACACATAAACTCCTATCTGATATAACAGTATCTTCACTCTTATGAGGCTCATGTTGATTTCAATTCTACCATATGAGTTGATGATATTGCTGTTAAGGTGTTGCGACTTATTAATAACTAAACATTTGTTTTAAAATGCATTTATTAATGTTTACATTGATGCAGTGTATGAGGACCTCTTTATGTAGCTTATGAACATATCATCTTTATGAATTTTTCAGATATCTTTCTCCCAGTTTCCTAAAATTGATCTAGTTCACTTTTTCGTAACATTCTTTAGGTATGTAAAGGTCCTATGCCCACGTCTAGTGCAAACCCACTGATCTGCTTGTGTCCCGTTCTCTGTAGCTCGGATCCAGTGTCTGCATTGATGTTGTGGCTTGGACATGTTGATTTGATGCATGTGGGTGTAGGTTTAACCCTCATTGTAACAATAGCCTGTCTTCAGTTTTGCTTAACGGTTCATTTTCATTTCAACATGAGTCTTGTCAAATTGTACAAAATATAACAAAGATGGGGTATTAAATGGTAAATGAAACTGGAAATCAGAAGCTTTCACTTCAGCTTTTTACTTTAGAAGAAGATGGCAGGCCTACGTTTAACACCCACATGTGACAAATCAAGTTGTCTAAAGAGGGGAAATCCTTTCTTCTTCCTGTCTTTTTTCTGGCATTTCATTTTTGTTTCCTGGTTTGTTTCTTTTGTTGCTCCTTCATTTATTTCTTTGTGGTGTCATAAGCCTGTCACTAATAGAAGGTGTTAGATGTAAGTAGAGATGAAAGATCAGGGAACTGCTTGTGAGATAAGATAAAAGCCGCATTTTGACGCTCAGAAAGTGGTAGGTCGGATAGTAAATGAATTAATTGAGGTTCAAAATGATAAAAGGATACATAATTTCAGTGTACAGTTTAGTCACACACTAATATTTATAGGTGTCTAATCAATATAGCATAATAGGGAAAACACAACTGTTTTCCTGTAAGAAAGGTTTATGCCTAGTGAAAACATTGCAGGAGAGAAGTGCAAGATAAATTGTAGGAATTGAATGACGTACATGAAAAGTTTGAATATTTTGACAGCTTAGTTCGAACAAGGTATGATATCTTTTCTTAAGCTGGCTGAGAATGGCAGAGAATGAAGATCTGTGATGGCTGCTATTTGTTTTTGGATCTAGCTATTTAGGAAGAAGTTCAGTAGATCTCTGCATTGATTCCTTCAAGCCTCAATTATTGTAGTGCTTAAGCTCTGTCCCACCTCAGCTCAGATTTCATCCATTTAGGTCATTCAAGGATCCTGAAAATTTGCCGTTGATATCGATGTAGTGGAAAGTTCTCCAATATTTCTCTTGTGGCTCTCAACAACGTGATTACTTTTTAGGGGTTGAGTGTTTTTTGGACCTGAAGCTTCACAAATCAACTCACTTGAGAGTTAAAGCTTTGACACAGCCTTCACAGCGCCTAATGCCCTCAGCCCTTCACAAGGCTTTCATTCACAACCCTCCTGTTCAAGTACCTCTTCTCACACTACTTTCCGTGCCAGCACATTAACATACATTAACATGAGCACTTAAAGTGGTAAGGGAGTCTCAAAAGGCTATCAAGTTGGTTTTACAAATGGTAGGTAAGTCAAATGGAAAAAGTTTATTTTGTGTTGCAAATTTGCTTGTGTTGTAAGTGACTTTCAGGCTCTCTGATCCTTCCTGCTATGAGCATCAGTGCTTCTTGTCATTGCCCTTTTCTTATGCAAGTCCCTTCACTACCATGGCTTTGCATATTTGTGTCTTGTCAAAGTTATATTGGTCTTGAAAGTTCTCATTGTCTTGCATGTAACTTAGTGTTGGCAACAGATATAGACTAGAGGGAGAATTTGCAAATTCAGTAAATGTTGTGCTCATTTTGCATTTTGTTATGGCTGTTTTTCGTCCCTTTGTTTTGCTTTTATTGTGAGTGAATCTTGTTGTTTGTTTGTTTTGGTTTTTTTCTCTGTTCCCGTGCACTGTGTGGGCAGTTGAAGAACAGTAACCAGTTCCCCATGTCCAGCCTTGGTCCATGCTGCAATAATAGGCTCCTTGTTTTTGTCCATCACTAACAAGACAATCATGCATGTGCCTATGTTTGATGTGTTTACCTTTTCTTTACAGATTTCTTTTGTTCAACCGGATAAAATCAATCTTCTTAAGTTTTTTATAATTTTCTTTAGGTAAGTTAAAACATTTATGGTGTGAAATGTTTATTCATATAACCATGCTAGTGGAATGGAAGAACTGTCTGAAATGTATACACTCACTCTCTCACTGTTATCCCTTATCATTTCACTGTTGTTGAGAACATTCAAATTGTTTGTGTTTTGAATATTGTCTTTTGAGGTGGTTGTGCAGAGAATTTGTTTTCTTGTCTTTTTATAATTTAACTGAAGCATGACTTTGACTCTTGTATGTCTTCATTAGTTTTTTTCACTCACCGGTATTCTCTCCCCCTCTCTCACTCTCTCTCTTTTTTGTTTGTTTATTTGTTACTTTGTCAATAAATGCAAATTAGTCTGTAAATATAAATAAAAGAAGCATAAATTCAGGTTTTATGTCTACCTTTCTTATGTGCTTTCTCTCAACTGCTTTAATGGTATCAACAGATTGCATTAAGAGTTAAAAGCTGAGACAAAAGATGTGAAAACTGATGCTGTTGTCATTCAGGAGATTTTAAGAACAATCGGAAAACATTATTACTCTGGAGTCTGGGTGCAACTTTCAAGATAAATTTGTGCCCGCATTCAGTTCATTAACAGCTAGCAGACATTCGGTGTGATTTCTTTGTAATCTGGGGTTTTTTTGGTAACATCTTATGTTATCAAAGTCTTTGTTTCATTAGCTAAAATCTGATTCATCTAGTTAAATGACTTAATAAATTTTATTTTAATTTCTGTCAACTCAATTCAAGTTCAGTTTTATACAATAGTCCCTAAGTATTTGCGTCATCTGCACTCTGTGCATGAAAAAAAGTCACTGCTTTCTTGTAGATAAAGAAAACACTTTATTGAGTATTTTCTGGCAGAGCATGGCTTGGGGTGTAATTGCACTGTCCTTGAAGCTCTTCTCTTCTTTTGATGATATTTTGCATAAGAAAGTGTTCTGTAGAGAGAATGTAGAAAAGATAAAAGTTGTTTTATTATTTTTAAATTCCCATGCATGGAGTACAGGTAATTTACACCTCAGTTTAGAAAAAAATGAAAGATTTATACCTTAGTATGCCCATTCAATCTATTTTATAATCTTTACGTCATTTTGTGAAACTTGTATTTTTAAAGTTTCATCACAAATGGCGTTTGTTTCATTTAGTTGAAACTCAATCTCAGCACTTGTCAGTCACCCTCCAAATAGCTGTTTTATTCCATCTCTACAGGCACTTTTCCACCCTTTAATCAACATGCAATGCATCTTTTCTTTTACCTCTGTTAATGAGATTGATTGATTGCTTATGTAAATGAAGAATACCGATAATGAAAAGTGAAATGACTTTGAAAAGTTTGCTACTTTCATAGTTAATTTTATAAGGCCTGGCAAAAGTTGAAATGTATGCTTTGAAATTAATTTGGACCTATGTTAGTAATAACAGATTCATTGTGCATGACAAGTCATGAGTCGGGGGCAGATTATGTTTCAGTAAACTGTTGATCTTGATTTTGTTATCACCTCTTTGTAGTGTTATGAGTTTTAGGATCAGGTATGTAATTAATTTTTAAAATATATTTTATTAAGCATGTAATCAGGGAAAGCTTTAGACAAATCCAAAACAAAACTTATGATTCAAAGAATTCTGTAGTGTCTGCAGTATTTTATTCAAACCCAATCCTACTCTTACTGGTTTTTCTACCTTTTTCAGCTGTTTTCTCTCGCTGGTGTTGATAGCAGCAGCACTGTGGAAAGTAAAACACAAGTACAACAGCTACAGGCGAAGACAGGTTGGGACAATTTATAGAACGTATTTTCAACTGAGGGTTTATGGGAGTCCAATTTTGTTCTTGGAATTTTTGTTGTTGTTGTGAAAGTTTAGTCATTTGAAAAAAAAAATAGAATTCACCAGTGTCTGTGGGGTAATGGTTTTAAACATTTTGCTGTCACACACAGAAGATGTGAGTTTGATTCCCATGTGTGGGGAATTCTTATCGAGTATTTCAGTCTTTCTGCTGGGAAGTTCTATCCCTCTCACAGGGTTACCCTGACAGGCAGGGTTGAAGCAGCACACCTCCTAAATATTGTGAATATTGATGACCGGAGGGTAAAACATCTTCAGTTTTGTGGGTCTTTTTGGTCCTTTTTTATATATACATTTTATAAATTCACATATATTTTAGTTATGTTAAGCTAATTCACTGGACTGGTTCTTTTTGTGGAAAATTTCTGTTCGTTCAAAATTATTTTTAAAAATGTTCCTACTTGAAATGTTTCCTTTTAGCCTAGTGTCTGGTGGGGAACTAAGTACTTCACCTTTGAAATGACCATCATGGTATTAAGTAGGATGGAATCATGCAAGCTGACCCTTGGAGGGTATACTTAACAAGGAGATAGTGTTTTAGTTTTTATCAACAATGGTAATAGCAATTGTCTCAGAGAGCTTGTGTATTTGAGTGCTATAATTTTTTATTGAATGTTCTTTAAATAGTTGATCGTGGTAAGATTTATATAAATTGGTCTTTAAACTATTGACGTGTTACAAAGATCTTGAATTTTTTATTTTTTTTTGCATGCAGCTTATCATGTTCTTATAAGAAAGTATGAGTTTTCAAGAAATCTTTAATGATATTTTTATGTTGAAAATTTCCAAAACTATGGTGCAATACAGTGGGCACACCTTTTTGTCTTTTTGCAGCAATTGATGGTGGAAATGGAACAAATGGCCAGCAGACCCTTCTCTACTATTGGTATAGAGATAGATCGCAAGTCAAACCCGATCACAGTGGACAAGAAAGATCATTTAGATTCAGTATTGAGGCGAAGGAGAAAGGTAGTTTTCTGAAATAATGTGTATTTGTGTACCCATGAGAGATGGAATCTGACTGACAGAGTCATAAATGAAATCTTGTATGTCTATCAGGGGATAAAAAAAGAGCTATGGATTGTTGTCGACTGAGATTGAATCTAAATGAAATATATACTTCTGACAAGTTGCAGCATTGTATGTCTCCCAGTCAGGGGATTGAAATGGTCAGTTTGATGAAGGGGCAGCCAAAGGAATTTCTGTGAAGTCATGTGAACCTTTGCTAGGATGTATGTCTAGAATAAACACTCTGACTTGCACTCTATGAGCCATCAATACCAAGCAGTTTATACATGCTGACTAAGTATATTTTATATATAAAATTATTGCTTGTAATGCCTACAGTAGTTTGCTAATCCTCAGGTAATTCACTTCACATGTATTACTTTTATGTTGGCACAATACCAGGAATCAACAGATCTTAAGTTAATTGTCATTTCTTTTTTTTACTTTTTGCTACCCTAGAATTACTAAGTTCTATGTGCTTTCTCTTTGAGAAATTTGACAAAATTATGAGTTCTGATGCAAATTCTTTGAATATCTTGATAACGGCTGAATAAATAACAACTCCGAATATTCACACTATTTTGATAGAGCAGATAGAAGATTTGGTTTCTAACCTCATAGCCTTAGAAACTCAAAAACAGTATAAAATGGCGAATAGAAATTTGTAATTCTACAGTAGCATCTTGTTTTCAGTTGATTGCTCTGACTTGTTCTGTTTTTCTTGTTTGTCACAACCCAGGCGGGGAATAAACCGTCAGCTGTGGCCATAGAACCCTTGAAGGACAACAAGGCAGCCATCTTGAGTCTCATCATCCAGCTCCCCACAGGCGGCTCAGACTACGCCCCCAGTGGTCAGTCAGGACTGGCTGTGGGCAGTGCTCTAGTCTCCATTGGTGAGTGTGAAATATTAAATTTTAGTCAACACAGCTCATTATAGGTATTTCCATGGTGTTGAGGGAGCTTCTCCCTTAAGTAAGACCAGGATCACATGGTCCTTCGAGGATGAACTCTTGATTTTTTTTTTCTTGTTCATGCTATTTATGAAAGCTACTGGAATTGCACTTTTTGTAGTTAATCTTGCAGAAGTGCTTTCTTTTGTTGGCCTCCTACTTCTGTCAAAACAGTACAGTACTAGTGAAACAAAGAAGTGTTGTGCTTTACTTTTTTTTATTATGACACTTATTCCCAGGTCTCTAAATGCTCGCAGTAGACATGTTGAAACTGTCCAATTTGTTTCCCTGATACTTACACAATATCAAAGAAAATTTATGAAACAGGGGTTGAAATGTTGTTGTTATGATGCGCATCATTCCTCGGCTGTCCGTGGTTGGTATTTTCATTGGAATAAATAATAACAATGAAAAGGTGATACCATTTTTGGTGTTCAAAGTCAAGTATTTCAAATTGTGTCAGTCTATTGTTATAGTATTCTTTTTCATTTTGTCTTTCAGGATCTCATCGGAAACAGAGCTTAGAGCATATTAAAGGAGAGAAACCAAAGGTTCGGAAAAACCTCACATACAATCATCCGGATACTTGTGCCTGAGAACCGTACAACTACAAAAAATGAGTATTGCTGTTTTAGATATATATATATGCATTTCTTTGTTGTGCGTAATTTAGCAAGCCGTGTTTGCAAACTTTGAGACATGTTGGCCCTCATGGATTGCAGTCAATTCCACAAAGCAGTGCCCTGTCCACAAGATTTTACGTAGGATGCTGTCGAGGAACTTTGATGGCAAGTACGTACATCTGCAATTTAAAAGTTCCACATATGACGATATGAATGAGTAGAGCAACACGACTTTGACAGAGCTTTTAAGCCTAGCTTATGTCAAACCAGCATCCCCCCAAAACACCCTCCTACATGTAGAGACAATCTTAATTTAAAAGTTAAAATTCGATTTTTGTCCCATGTTCTCCTTTATATTTATGTCCATAAGGCAATAAGGGATTCATTCTGTCAACTCCTCTTAATGGGATTACTGTAGGTTCCATAATGTTTTCAAGAGTAATATTCTGAAGTTTTGAGATTCTTTTGAACCAAAGAAAGATTCTCATAGACTTACACCCTATTTTACTGAGAAAAAAAATGTGGAACAGCAAGCTCATAATAATAAATGAAAATTGAAGTGATTCTCAAGGTTTGTTGAACTGTGATATGCATGATGTTGCTGATCAAAGTGCAATACAAGGAATGTTTGTCTTAATGCATTTGCATTCTTGAAAGATTGGTGTTGGATGAGTTCCTCTCTTTCTTACTGAATAAATCTTGCCTTGCAATCAACCACTGCTCCTCTTTTTCATAAAATACACTGTAGCTATTTTGACAGTTGATGATACTCATCCACATCTTGCCTTGAGTGACATATACTTAAGTGTGAGACACACACTTCAATAAGACTCACAAACACCGGTGTATCGGGCTAATATCAATAAGACGCAGGTATTCCTGTATTTGGGAACATCAACTGGACACAAACGATTGTATCATATCCTAATGTTGATATGAAGTTTGACAGCCAATGTAATATTCAGATTTCCATTTATTTGCAATACAAGTTTATTTGCCAGGGGCGGTTGGTTGCGTACTCTTATTAATCTTCTGGGACTCTGGAGCCTCTGATATAGCATGTGCAGACTTTCATGTATCAGAGGATTATCAATGTATAATTTATATGTGATTGTTGATGTAGACATATATGCGATACACAAATATCTTTGTTAGTATCAACCACAGTGTTGCACACAAATGTCAAAGTATAATGCAAACATAGAAATAATACACCAATGTCAACGTAAAACACAAAAATATGTGAGATACATAATATACATCAATGTACCTAAACCCTGGACGTCTCATCTCTAGGTCAGAGGTAACATATTAACATTAATGTATGGCACGCATGTCAGGCTGACATGCAGACATCAAAGTTGCAGATATGTGCATCAGTTCAGCACACAAGCTCTGTGTGGGTTGCATTGCACTCTTTAACAGCTCAGAGGTTGTGATGTGGCTACCTGTAGGATGGTCGATGGGCTTGCATTTTATGTATAGAGCGTAACAGGGCTTGTTTTTCAGGAAAGATGCTCACTTTTTTGTGCCGTCATTTGTGTTGTATTTAGTTCACTAATAAAAAGGACATGAATTGTTTATTGTTGTACTCAGTGGTATCCACCTTAGAATAAGCCACCTTGACACTCCTTCAAGAGCTCACTTTTGTCAATGTGACTTAATTTTTTTCATTACAATCTTCTTGTTAAAATATCTTTTCTAAAAATTAAAATCTGAGTAGTCTGGTTCAGTCTGAGAAAGAAGAACAATTGTCTTAATAACCTGATTTGCTGTTAAACAACTTTAAGGGAAGAAAGTCATTCTCCTGGAGAGGGAAAACTCATAACGGTTTTGCATCCAGTGAGACCCATTTGAATGATGGGTGGGGAGTGTCTCTTTCTTTCATTTGATCGTGATCATCTCTTGACTCAAGCATTGCAGTCACCAAAGGGTCATATTTGAATTAACAATAAGCAAATGAGGTAGCTTTGTTGTGTGAGCGATGTTGCTTCACTTGAATTCACCTAAAATGCCAGTCTGTATGAGAACCATGTCTCCCAATGAGGAGGTTTACGAGGTGAGACTTGTTCATTTTGTAACCTTTTTAAAATTCTCGTTTTGGGAAAAGGGGGGGGGGGGGGGGGGTACTTTTCATTACTATGAGTAAAATTGGATGTAATTTTTTTTTACTAATATGCTTGCCTATTCTTTCATGAAAACTTGTCATCTAAAATAAGATATGTAGTGGAATAAAAAGTTCAGGACCGCATTTGTGAATGATTTTAGCAAAGTCTGTTTGAGCAAGGAACTTTTTTTTCTGTGTACTTTCGGATAAAATCCTGGATGTTTTTAACATTTTCAATAATGGTCTCAGAGAGAGGTAAATTGAACAAAGTGTTCTGGAAATTATTATGATGGTTTCTGAACAATTTTTTTTCATGCCACATTTATTTTCCTAGATTCTAGAGTTGGAAAAGTGAAAAGTAGAATGAGCAAGTTACACTCACTTCCTTGTTTGATGTTGAAATGTTGAGATTGAGGGTTTCTGTTAATGGGTAACAATTATTTAAACTTGATGAGTTGACTAACCTGTTTTATCTATTGATTACTTTTGACATAATTTGATTGTTCTATTAGTTTATTCTTTCATGTATCAATATATTTATATTTATTGTAAATAACCTTCCTGTAATATTTAAAGTCCTTTTATGATTGATAAGGATGTGTAAATCAGTCTGAACTCTTTCTCCACAATTGCATCGTTGCTCTATATTTTGTTATTCGAAGTGGCTATGCGTGTGGCTCCCGTACGCAAAGTCTCGTGGCTATTTGTTCGGCCCTCCACTTCACATAATAAGCTAGGCTTTGTAGGCGGCACATAAACTATCAAACCGGACACTACAAGTGGACAAACTTTACACAACTTGAGGCTTCATCAACAAGCACTTTAAGTGGAAGTTGGAACAGAGTAGGACAACAGTTAATTATTGTAAAATTCCTAAGGGGCACTATTTAAATTACGGTCACTCACCTTAATTTGAGTACGCGTTCCGACTGAAGTAGGTAGTTGGCATGCCTTGATGTTTGCGTATTTGTTGGAGCATCCTTTATAAACTGCAGCAGTCAGTTCATTGATTTATTGTTTTTATCAAAATCTACAATTGCGGTGGCCGAGCGGTTAGTGCGCTCGTCTCCGAGGTGGAAAGTCCGGGTTCGAGCCTCAGTTCGGACACGGATATTTTTCTACCCGTCCTGCCCACCCAGCAGTAATAGGTACCTGACTTCGAGTTGGGGAAGTAAAGGCGGCGTGGAAAGATACTGGCCACCCTACCACAATATGCCGAAGGCCCAGAAAGTTGTCTTACTAACTAACAAGGCAATCCCCAATGTCCGGATCGGATGCGGGAACAATTTTACTTTACTTTACAATTGTTTAAAAATCTTTCAGTCGATAAGATGATAAGAACCATAAAAAGCATCTCACAACCTATATTTACATTGCACTTTTGAAATTACCGATACTTGCATCCCGTACAAAACCAATACTTGGTCTTGGGTGTTGTGTCATCCCAATGCAAGCCATATGCATCCAGCTTAAACAACTGTCACAGCCTACTGACTCCTTAGCAGCTAAGTCCAGGCCACATTCTTTGCAAAACCATGGCAGTGTAGAGCGGTCCCATCAAATCTGTTGCAATTATTTCCAACCCTGGTTGTCAAAATATTTCGTGATCAATTCTACCATTGCCATGGGATCGAGAACACAGCTTGGTATGCACTCTGCATCGGATTCAATATCAGTGAACATTACTGTGAGACCACGAAGAATTTTATCCCGACCATCCTCTGTAAGGTACCAATCAAGAAGCATGTTCTCTTTTGTTTTGGTGTCTTTTTTAGAGAATGGCACCATGCTTATCTTTGCTCTCTTTCTTGGTAGGCTGATTGCAGTCGTTGCCTCTCCTTTGGGACGGTCGCGAGTGCTGTTTTTTTTCCCTGGCCGTACCAACTCACTGGGCTGGGAGCAGATGGACTGGCACTGGTAGCAGGTGCGTTGGCACTTAAAGCAGGTGGGCTGGCACTGAGAGCTGGTGGGCTGGCACAGGGAGCAGGTGTTAGACTTTGCAGAGAAGCGCTGCTTTAAGGATGAACAATTTCACAAACTATGAAGTCCAGCCTGCAGGAAAGCAAGCACTTGGTTCAGCTGCTCTAGTTGCTGATGGAATGAGTGACTGTCCAAGTCAGCCATTAAGCTCGCTTATCATGCTGGTTGCAAGGCTAGCTTTCCTGAACTATTTGTTGTGGGTCAAGGGCTTCTCTGCACATGCACTGCGACTAGCCAATAAAGTCTTGATATTGGTCAGCTGGTTCGCTCGGTGTTCTTGTTTGATGGTATGTCTTTGTCCATCGACGGTGTGCTGCATCTGGTACATAAGTTGTCTGTTTACAAATGCTTGGCCCGTGCCATTATATGCCTGCGTGGTAGGTAGTGTTTTTGGTTGAAGGGGCAGGAACACCGATTTGCCTCAACAATGAATCTCTTTTTTTTTTTGGCATTCAACAATATTGTTGTCGACGATGTTGACATTTTCCACCCTGACGAGTTCATTCTTCACAATTTGGAAGGCCTCCATTGTCAACATTTCCATATATGCCTTCTCGTCTTCATTGTTGACACAGATTGTGTTGACACAGATGTGCTGATTTTCATCTCAGCAACAACTGTCTTGCTCCTTTTTGCGTGGCGTGCAACACATATTTCACAGTTCGGCACATCCTAACGGAATGTGTCGAATTTAATGATGTACGTAAGAAATATTTTTAATGTAAAGATATCAAAAACGTTTTTTACACTGTAGACCCTAGAAAAATTTTAAGTTATGTTAAAGAAATAGGACTATTTAATAGTAATAGAATATAAAAATATACAGTCATCGTTATCAGTGTATATATACATATACACTGAAATTAATATTGTATACAAATGTAAATAAGTCTTTACCATATTTACACAAATTTTCATAAATGTTTGTCCGTCCTTTTAGCATAATGAGAATAGTGTGACCGTGTGCGGTTGCGAGCTCCGAAAGACTCTTACTAAAACACGTCTGATTTTGTTGCGGTGACATCTGTTGGCGTTTAAATGACCAAAATTGGGTCGATAGTGCCGTAAAACATCTACTCAATCAACAACTGTCTTGTGTTGCTGTTCGGTGCGGAGCAAGTTGACAAGAGAGAACAGCTTATGTACTACTAAATCAGCCAGGTTTGTTCTGCTTGTCACGACTGACTTGACCTAGTGGAAAAAGGATTCAATCCTATTGTTGGTGCAGATGCCAAAGTTGAAAGTAGTTAATTTGAAGGCCTCGACCCACTCTTGGCGTATTGGGTGCCAGTGCTGTTCAAAACAGCAACACACGATGCCACCAAAGTTTTCCAACTTCACATGTCCTTTGTCGTAATCCTCCTCAGAATTGGAGTAAGCCATGTCTTGAACAATGTCCAAAACACGGACCCGCTCTTCGGTGGTGATGTTGCATTTGGAAGTTGTCACCTCTTTGCCGAAAGTGCGAAGATCTCTTTTGAAACTTACCGTATTTCTCAAAAATCATTTTGACAGACTACTATGCAAAGCATACGAATCGTGTTAACGAGTAAATTTCCTCTTTGGAAAGTGGTGGCACGGAGTTCCCCACGTCGTATGAATACGATAGTAAAACACGATGTACGGATAGGGTTAATATCCCCCCTTTGGGAATGGCCTAAAGACAACTTCAGTCAGTAGCACTGCCCTGGTGGGGGGAGGGGGAGCTAGGCAGGTTAACATATAATATTTCAACCTTTGCACACACCTTCAAAATTTGTACAGTTGCTTCATCCTCCTGAACGAGGAAAAAACGCGGGGGATGGCTCTGGTAGTTTCAATCAACAATGATATAAAGGCATGTTGTGTGTGTTCAGTTTGTACGTACTGTCTACAAGGATAACCTCTGGAATTTTTCCAAAGTTCACAGCCATTTCCTCATCTTGCAAGAATATGCCCAGAACATTGTTGTGCACATTGTGGTGCACATGCATAGAAACAGAAATGTTGCTTGTCAAGTTGTGAAGCTCTTCCATTTCTGGTTTCTGGTGCTTTGCCGATGTCTTCTTCGAAATGTTGTGTATGTCTTTCATTATGATAACTTTTTTAGCGACATCTTCCTTGTGGGATTTTAAAAGTTTCTTGTTTGCTTTTAACTTTACCATTTTGGCAACCATTTCTGTCTGTGTTGTGTCCAGCCTCCTCTGACTCGGGTGATGCATGATATGTTCACAGGTACATGGGTGATTATGGTGTGGTCCGTGATTGTTGACTACCAAACTTTGGCCGTCCTAAGCCTCGAAGTTTGATGGCGAATGGGCATCTAATCTTTGATGTACTCTGCTTTGGCCTCTCTCCTGTCTTGAGATTTGGCCTATACTTTCCGTTTCGAAAACACGCATACACTATTTCTGAATACTTCAATTCCTGGCGAAACCCTTTGGTGGAGCACGTTTTGGCAGCTGCTGCAATTGTTCTACTTTCTCTATTGATTCAACTCACATATTCTAACTTTTGGAAATCTTCTATTGCTTTTTATAAGTCCTCGAAACAATCAAATTTCTGTCCGACGGACAACGCCATAGCTGCAGTTCTGAAGTAAAATATCTACATGCGCAGGAAAAGCAACTAAGACAATTCGGAAAGATTGTACAGGCTCCTCGGGCCGAGAAGGATAAGTGAATAAGGTGACAACACGTAAACAAACTTACAACTTTTTTTCTTGTGTTCACTTTGGACTATGATGAGCTCAGGTAGGTCTCAAGAGTTTTGTCTCCAGAGATGTAATCAAAATCTTGAGTGTTTACAGTACTCTTATCAAACATTTTCATGGGCATTAGCGACATAATTGTGAACACGAATTACGCTTGTTTTCATTGGATCTCAGTTAAGACTATCGACCAATGGGCTACTCTCTTTTGAAACCCTTCCAGAAGAAAATAAACAATGACCATAACAACAGCACAGATCTAAGTTGGGTTAAATTGATTATCAAGGCTGTGAGCATACGTCCTTAATTAAATCTAAATCTATACTTTAGAGGGCCTTACATAGGGAGGACAGTGCGCATAGCCATACAGGGGAGCCGTACACATAGCCATAAGGCTATGTATACTGGAGAGCCATACGCATAGCCACCGGCTTTGTTATTATAATTGTTTGTGTATATACCTGTATCCATCCTGT